TTTTTTTTTTTTTTTTTTTTTGCACATCTTTTCTTTAAAACTGTCAGATCATTTCAGTATTTCAAATCCGAGGAAAACAGCCTGCCTGCTGCTGTATTTGAAGTTGTAATGGTGTCAAAAAGTCACGACTGACTGACAGCCGTCAGTCCCAGAGGGGCTCATTAAATCATAAAAACTTGACAAGGAAATAATTGCACATCGCCAGCAACTTGGCGCCTGTTTAGACGTTTTTATTTTCTTTCATTATTAGTCCCCACCATTACGTTCATTAACAAATTGCATTAAACAACTGTTAAGGGCTAATGATTTGTTTATCGCTTTTTTATTATTATTATTTAAACATTAGCTGTGTCATGTGGTACCTCAGCAGCCTCTTGCCATCATCTGACTGAATATTTTTCCACTCCGAGCTCTGGGTACTGTTGGAATATGAAATAGATTATTCATTACTCTCCTCTTTGCCACTGATTTGGTTTCATGTAGCGTCTTCCACAGAGAAAGATGAAAACTTGTCAAAAATAGGTTATATCTTATTCGAAGGGGCAACAATAGCAGCAGGTACAGGCACACTTTAATATTTAATTAAGGTTGATGTTAACCCCTTTAAATGACTTTAGCTGTAAGTTATATTTAAATGCAGAAGAGAAAAATAATTGTTCTTAATTTGCAACCTGTTCAGCAGACATTCTTCATGGACTTAGCTGGAAATTTGGAGCAGAATTTTTAAATAATGAAATTTCCCATCATAAATATTTATAGCAGTTTGTCTACGTAGTGGACAATTAACTCTAATCGATGATTTCCTCATCACGTTGGTTTGAACTGCTAGCCAGCAGGGCCCTCTGTGCTTCGGAGTGGGGTGGCTTTCCTGGAAGTGATGTGTGTTTGGAGGAGAAGTCCTGAGCCAAGGACTGTTGGTCAGTTGTGGCCAGCGCTGCTTTCAAAGGCACTGGTGTTGAGTCTCCTGTCTGCGGTCGCTTGCCTTCCCCTTTAGCTGAGTGTGTGGTTGGAGGACTGTGGCCTGCAGTGAGAGTGAGCAGGAACGGACGTCTTAAAGGAAGACTTGTGTGTGTCCAGGTGGCTGCTTCAGGGAGGGTATGACAGGGATGTCTTGGGTAGACACCAAGGTAGACCTTGGGTTGGTTCCAGGTAGTCAACTGGAGCTCGTCATGAAGAGCACTTCCCTCATGGGCAATGGGAGCAGCATTTGGCGGGGACTAACCTTCTACCCTTTTCCTTTCTGTGGTCTGCCATTAGCAAATTGATTGGCTTTTCCATGGACTATGAGCTTGAGGGGACAGAGAGGACAAGGCTCCGTGATGGTCATCCTGAGTCAGAACGTGATCGCCTTCTCAGGCCATAACCGCTATCCAGTTGTTCCATGAGTTTACATAACCTGAAAATGGCAGCCATTCCGAGAGGCCTGCTTCACTGGCATGTCAGGCCTGAGGTGTTCTGGTCAAGAACAGGAAGTACCTCTTCCTATCCTGTCTCTAGTCTCACCCTCCCATCCCAGAGAGACCAGACCCTTTAGATGTGAGGAGAAGAGATAATTCATGTACCTTGCTCAACGCAGTGTATCAGCACCACACACCCAACGTCATATGGTCCTGCAGGAGCTGTGGGCCAGCCCAGCAGGAGAACCAGGTGAGATCTGCTTGCAGCTGTCATTGATCACTGTGGATATAAAAATGCTGGGTATGTCAAGGCCCAGAGGGCCTCAGGGCTCCATTTTGATCCAGTCCAAATTAGCCACATGATAAGCCACCACTCTTAGGATGACTTCCATTCCTCAGCAGGAGACGTGCTCAGAGCCATCTTTTCAGAACAAAAGAAGGCTCTGTGGTAAGCCCTCCCCAAAAACATTCCCAAAGATCCTGGTTAACAGCGCTGAGACAAGAAAACAACCCTCAAACTTGATCTCACCCTGTGCTGTAACTCACTAACTTTAAACCTGACCCCAAGAAAGATTCTTATTTTTGCGACTTCATCTATGGCCCATCGGGCTCAGACTCGTGGCATGTGCCAAAGGCTGGCCAAATAACGTGATCAGTCATATGGCTCTTATACCAGATGCCAGCCTTCCTTAATAGGATGAGTGACTGTGTGAACAGCTCAAAAAAGATCTTGAAGCCACAAGCTGTGCACCCAAGAACAGTGATGTTGAAGGGCAGCCAGGAACAGCCAGGCCCAAGCAGGAAGGCATGAGTGTGGCTGGAGCTAAGGCATTCTGGGATAGTGATGGGTCCAGGTTTGGCTCTTCCTCCTGCTGTGAAGGTAGGACGACAGATGTGCTGAGAGGCTGTTTGTCTCTTGGGATTTCAGATGAGTAGCAAGAGAAGTGTTCCAGAGCCAGCTTACTAGAGACAGAACCAAGATGGCAGAGAACAAGTGGGTGGAATGTGAGGGCCAGGCGGGGTGCAGCTGAGGGCCAGTGGGTTCCCTACCATAGGGTAGGAGGTGGTTAGGGGGCTCATCCAGGGAAGAGTGGGGAGGGACGGGATTGGGCAACCTTGTAGCATCCGAAGCCCATCACAGCCCTGCCCCAGGAGGACCCAGAAAAGGGGAACAACACAGACCCCTCCCCAGGCCACACACCACCTTCTCCAGCCTCCCAGGCTTTCTGCCTGCGATGGGGAAGCACTTCCTCTTCCCGAATGGGCTCCTTACTCTGCTACATAAAGAACGAAAGCATCTCAGTAAGGGAGAAATGGCAGGAGGCAGCGCTCTGGGCTGTGGTTCTGTGAACTTGGGCACCCCTCCTTCCCTCCGTCCAAACAAGCCCCTTTGGCGTGAATAATAGCTCGGAAGTGCTGAGGCTGTATTGATCGCCAGCCTGCTCAGCTCCACGGAGAGCTGCCTGGGCTTTTCCTGGAGGCAGGACACAGCGCAGCACAGTTCCTCCCCTTCCCTGACCAGCCCCTATGGTGGGGCCCCTCCTCCAGCTCAGTGTGGCTTTACTGCCCCGGCATTTTTGTTATGCACTTATTTTCCCTTGAAAAGTACCTGAGTGGAGAGGAATGGTTTTTTTTGTTTTTTTTTTTTTCCTCTCCCCACCCTCAGTCTGCACTGGGAAGCGAACCCAGGGCCTTCACACTGAGCAACATCCCTGGTCCTTCTTTTTTTTTTTCTTATTTTGAGGCAGGGTCTCACTAAATTGATAAGTTGCCCAGTCTGGGTTCAGACTTGTGATCCTCCTGCCTCAGCCTTCTGGAGTGCTGGGATTACAAACATGCACCAGCCTGCCCCGCTCAGGAATGACTTTGCATGATGAGACCCTACAGAGATGAGAATGGACACATCTGGCTTCCCTCCAAAAGATCCTGCCAGGGACCCAGGCCACAGAGGCCCCTCAGCTCAGCTGTCTGGGCCCTGTGGGACCTCAGCCAAAGCACCACGGGGTCTCCACTGTGCTTGCTGCTGATTTTCTCTGTCGTGGGCCCTTAGAAGGAAGAGGATGCAGGGAGGGCTAGAATCCATCACCTTCGTGGGAGAGGGGAGCTGCTTTAGAGTCATGGAGGATGTCACCAGAGTCTGGTTTCAGCAGAGACGCCCTGAGACCGTGACCCGACTGTCCCTGCCCTGGGTGGCATCTCCTTCGCACTCAGTGGCCTTGGCCCCTCAAGGGTTGTCCGGGTTGTCCAGCTGTGAGGTAAGGCCCATGCAGTGACTCCCTGAAGTCCCACCTCTGAAGTTTCGCCCCATCGGCTTCTGGCCTTGGAAGCTGAGAAACATGGGTTCACTATTCCCCAGGCAGCTTCAGTCCCCAGGCTGTGGCTTCCTCTGGGGCCGAGTTTGGGTCTGGGGGGAAGAGACCACCAAGAGGGAGCACTTGGTGTCTTCGGAAGAGGGGTAAGGAGGGAAGGGCCTTGCTCCCTGCAACCAGCTCCCCGGAGCCCTGTTCTGGGTCTGTGTGGTAGCCAGGGCTTCTGTCAGCCAAACATGGGCTGAATGTGGGTGCTGTGTGGTGCAGTAAAGGCTGGGTCTCCTGCAGGTCCCAGGGCGGTGCCTGACCCAGAAGGACAGTGAGCACGCAGGAAGGCAGGACTGGATTAGCACAGTCCTCTTGTCCCCACTGAGAGTGAGTGGATCCCAAGGCTGCCGTAATTTGCAATATGGCATTTGGGGAAGGGCCCCCAAGGGATGTGCTCTGTCCTGAGCAGAGCCTCCCTGAGCACTCCATCTGGGGTCTTATCCTAGGGGGACATTGCGACAATCAAAACCTCTGTCTGCTCACTTTTCATCCCCACCCTCTCACCCCAGGCCAGTCCTCCTGAGCTCCAGGTTGCTTCTCTAAAGAAAGGGAAGCATCAGAGTGAGAAC